TGAAACGTCAAAGGAATTTATGAGGGAAGAGGTATCAGCTCATATGGGATTGTTGGAACTAATGATAGAAGCCTTGCTAAGTTGGGTCGTGGGCTTGGTGTTTTGAGTTTACATGGGTCTGCATTTGAGTCGAACCCTATATCTGATTCTGGGGATGGGCCTAAGGCTTCTAAAGTTTGTACTAAGCCCAAGAGAATAAAACCTTTAAATGAGATGTACGAAAAGATTAGAATTCCTTTCTCACCCTTTTATTTTGCTACTTTGGTCCAACTTGATAAACTTCGACCTGATGTTCTTTCACCGATCAACCATGTATCTTCCTTATCAAATTCTAGTTCCAGATTTTCAGGGGGTTCTATTCTATGTTGTGACTCGATCAACGATAGTGATGTTATCCAAAGCAACTCTCACATTCGAAGGTGTTTGGAAGACGTTCCAACAAGAGTGTGGTAGTCTATCAAGAAAATGGGGATTGAAGTTGACGAAGATGATAATTTCTTTGAAGCCATAATTAGGAACATGGAGAATGTAGATAGGCATATCTTTGAAGTTCAAAAGGGTGTTGCTATTAAATCCAAATGAATTGTCTTTCCTATAATGTTCGAGGGTGTGGAGGGAGCCTAAAGAGGAGGAGTATAACGTAACTGATTTCAAAAGATGATGCTGATATTTGTTTTCTTTAAGAAACCAAATGTAAGAAGATGATAGATATTATAGCTCAGAGAATTTGGGGAAGTTCTAATTGCCAATGGTCAGTAATTGATGCAGTGGGGAATAATGGGGTTTGATTGTGCTGTGGAAATTATATTTCATCCAATCGATCTCAAGTTATAGGGGAAAAGGATTATTGTGTATCAGTGCTATCTGGAAGGGAAATATTTTCAACTTTGTAAATGTTTATTCGCCATGTTGTCTGACTGAAAATAGGAAATTGCGAGAGGATTTATTTCAAATCAAGTCTAAATCACCAAATGGAGGTTGGGTTATAAAGGGCGACTTCAACAGAATTAAGAGCAGAGATGAAAGAATATGGTGTGGGAAGGTGCATAAGGGTGAAATGGATGGCTTCAAAGATTTCATAGGAAAGGTGGATCTTGTGGAACTTCCTTTGATAGGTAATAAATTCACCTTCACTACTTCTAATGGTAAGTGCATGAGTCGATTAGATAGACTCATTATCTCTTTGGATGTGGCTAACAATGGTAACTCTTTTCAACAACCTATTGGCAATCGCGACACATCTGACCATCGTCTGGTATGGCTTAAGGCTAGGAACATTAATTAGGGCCCTAAGCCTTTTAATATTTATGATTGTTGGTTCAATCACCCTGATTTCTTGCCTTTTGTGGAACGTGAAATGGAAAACTTTTAATGTCAGTGGTAGTGCAACATTCGTTTTATCTAAGAAGCTTCAATTTATTAGGGACAAGTTGCATTGGTGGAACTTAAATGTATTTGGATTCTTAGATTTACATATTCAAGCAGATATCAACATAATAAATGAGGTGGAGCAAGATTTGGCTTACAATGCTGATGAGGTATCAGTAGAGTCCTTGGGTAAAAGAAGATATGCTCAAAAGAGTATGCAGGATAAGATGTACTTGAAAGAGAGAATAATTCATCAAAAATCAAGGGTGAGGTGGATTAAACATGGTGACCTCAATTCAAATTTTTTCCGTAGTAAGTTCAAGCAGAGGTTAAGGAGAAATGTTATAACATCAATTAAAGTGGGTTCAGAGGTCGTAGAAGATGTCAAGCTAGTCAAAGAAACAATAAAGAATCACTTTGCAGAGTTATTCAGATCATCAGATACGCCTAGACATATATTAATAACCAAGGCATGGCTAGGTTATCACCTGATGATAGCCAAAGATTGGAAGGCCGGATTGATGAGGAGGAAATTAGAGAAGTCGTTTTTGGTTATGCAAGTAATAGGAGCCCAGGACTAGATGGGTTCAATTTAGGCTTTTTGCAAAAATGTTGGGAAGTAATATGTCTAGACATTACTATAGAAAAGGCATACAATAACGATTGGGAAAGATTTATAATTATGCGAGACATGGCGTTGTTAAGTAGCGTGTGGTTGTATATGGGTTATTTACAATCACGGTCCAGTACCCGTGGTAGAAAACTGGAAATATTTTCAACTTTGTAAATGTTTATTCGCCATGTTGTCTGACTGAAAATAGGAAATTGCGAGAGGATTTATTTCAAATCAAGTCTAAATCACCAAATGGAGGTTGGGTTATAAAGGGCGACTTCAACAGAATTAAGAGCAGAGATGAAAGAATATGGTGTGGGGAGGTGCATAAGGGTGAAATGGATGGCTTCAAAGATTTCATAGGAAAGGTGGATCTTGTGGAACTTCCTTTGATAGGTAATAAATTCACCTTCACTACTTCTAATGGTAAGTGCATGAGTCGATTAGATATACTCATTATCTCTTTGGATGTGGCTAACGATGGTAACTCTTTTCAACAACCTATTGGCAATCGCGACACATCTGACCATCGTCTGGTATGGCTTAAGGCTAGGAACATTAATTAGGGCCCTAAGCCTTTTAATATTTATGATTGTTGGTTCAATCACCCTGATTTCTTGCCTTTTGTGGAACGTGAAATGGAAAACTTTTAATGTCAGTGGTAGTGCAACATTCGTTTTATCTAAGAAGCTTCAATTTATTAAGGACAAGTTGCATTGGTGGAACTTAAATGTATTTGGATTCTTAGATTTACATATTCAAGCAGATATCAACATAATAAATGAGGTGGAGCAAGATTTGGCTTACAATGCTGATGAGGTATCAGTAGAGTCCTTGGGTAAAAGAAGATATGCTCAAAAGAGTATGCAGGATAAGATGTACTTGAAAGAGAGAATAATTCATCAAAAATCAAGGGTGAGGTGGATTAAACATGGTGACCTCAATTCAAATTTTTTCCGCAGTAAGTTCAAGCAGAGGTTAAGGAGAAATGTTATAACATCAATTAAAGTGGGTTCAGAGGTCGTAGAAGATGTCAAGCTAGTCAAAGAAACAATAAAGAATCACTTTGCAGAGTTATTCAGATCATCAGATACGCCTAGACATATATTAATAACCAAGGCATGGCTAGGTTATCACCTGATGATAGCCAAAGATTGGAAGGCCGGATTGATGAGGAGGAAATTAGAGAAGTCGTTTTTGGTTATGCAAGTAATAGGAGCCCAGGATTAGATGGGTTCAATTTAGGCTTTTTGCAAAAATGTTGGGAAGTAATATGTCTAGACATTACTACAGAAAAGGCATACAATAACAATTGGGAAAGATTTATAATTATGCGAGACATGGCGTTGTTAAGTAGCGTGTGGTTGTATATGGGTTATTTACAATCACGGTCCAGTACCCGTGGTAGAAAACTGGAAAGCGTGCTACCTATAATCACGATTATTTTAAATACCCGTTGTTCTATGTCTTTTAATAAAAATTTAAAAAATGCAGCATTAGAACTACCTATAATCACGGTTATTTTAAATACCTATTGTTGTATGTATTTTAATAAAATTAAAAAAAAGTTGTAGCACTAGAACAAGAACAACAACAAGAACAAAAAGAACAACAATAACATCAAGAACAACAACAACAACAACAACAACAACAACAACAACAACAACAACAACAACAACAACAACAACAACAACAACAACAACAATAACAACAACAATAACAATAAGTAGAAGAAGAAGAAGAACAAGAACAAGAAGAAGAATAACAACAACAACAGAAACAACAACAAAAACAACAATAATAACAACAACAACAACAATAATAATAAAAAGAGCACCAACAACTAACATTGCTCACTCGAATCCATATTTTCCATGTCTCATTCAAGTTGTAGAAGAGATGATGGAGTTATGAAATTTGTTAATTAAAGAAATGATATTTTCGAGTTTTGTTTATGAAATAAATGTTATTTTCGAGTTTAGTTTAGTGGAGAAATAAAGTATCGTAAATGAAAGATGATGTTTGGAGGTAGAAGATGTAGTTCGTCTAAGTTTTATGTTTCACACGGATCACTAATAGTAATGTCTTGACCATTGATAATCACTAAATGGACGACCAAGATTTGTTTAAGGGCAGTGAATAAACTCAATAAGCACGCCACCTATAATGTTGATGTTGGGACTTGAAAAAATAAGTAAAAACCAAAAATGTTGGTGTTGGGACTTGAACCCATGATCATACGCTACCTATAATTATGGTTTTTTAAATACCCTTGGTGAAAGGTCTGTCAGCATTTTAAAAAAAAAAAGTAAAAAATGCTACCTATAATCATGGTTTTTTAAATACTCGTGGTGAAAGATCTGTCAGCATTTTGAAAAAATAAGTAAAAAACCAAAAATGCTGGTGCTAGGACTTGAACCCATGACCAGACGCTACATATAATTACAATTTTTTAAATAACCAAGGTGAAAGGCCTCACTTTTCACCACAGTTATAATTTTAGCCGCGATTAAAAGTATTTTAATAAAATAAAAAAATGCATGCTCCTAAATATTACATATTGCTATGGTGAATAGGGAACCATTGTTACTTTGGTTTATTGTTTATATGTTTTGTAGTAGTGAGATCTTGTCCATTGTATTTAGGAATTCTATGTCACGTCTAAAATGCCCAAATCTATAACATTGTCGTTCCTTGCTCTTATCCCAAAAACTGAAAGCCCCCATACACTTACTGAGTACATGCCCACCTTCCTTATAGGAAGTGTGTACAAAGTCCTGTCTAAAATTGTGGAAACTAAATTAAGATCTGTGATGGGTAGTTTCATTTCCAAGTCTCATACAACATTCATTCCGGGTAGACAATTACTAGATGGAGTGGTTGTTTTAAATGAAGTAATGTTGAATTTTCCAAGGCATATGATTGTGTATACTGGCCATATCTGAAATACGTGATGTCATCTATAGGATTTGGCTTGAGAAGGATGAGGTGGATGGATGAGGGAGTATTTACGAGTTATATGTCCGTTCTCGTGAACGGTAGTCCTACGAAAGATTTCCAGGTTTTAGGTGGCTTGAGGCAGGGAGACCCGTTGTCTCCCTTCTTGTTCTCAATAGTGGCTGAGGGTTTCTCTACCTTGGTAAAAAGAGCAACTGGTTTTGGTATGCTAAAAAGATTTGAAGTAAATGAGGCGACAAGCTACAACCTATTACAATTTGCGGATGATACGATAATTTTGTGCAATGGTGAGCGGTCTAATTTGTGGGCTATCAAAACAATTATGAAGGGTCTTGAAATGACATTCGGCTTGAGAATAAATACAACCAGGAGTTTCCTATTCGACATTGGTGTAGATGATTATTCTTTGAAGGCATCAGAGCAGTTTTTAGCCTGTAGGAGTGGAGAGATTCCATTCAAATTCTTGGGATTGAAGGTGGGAGATAAGCATAATAGGTTGTCTTATTGGAATCTTGTCATTGAGGTTTTTAAAACAAGGCTGACACTTCGGAAAGGTAGACTTCTCTCTATTGGAGGAAGGGTGTCGCTTATTAACTCGGTTTTAACGAACTTGCCAATCCATTACTTGTCGTTCTATAAGGCTTCTAAGAAAGTGTTGGAGGTTCTCATCTCTTTGCAGCATAATTTCTTATGGAAAGGAATTGACGAATCCAAACGACTGACTTGGGTGAAATGGGAGTCCATATGCAAGACTAAAGAAGAATGAGTCTTAGGTTTGAAAGATCTAAGATTATTTAATATGGCGTTGTTAAGGAAGTGGCTATAGCAGTTCATCAATGAACCTGATGCAATTTGGTGTGCTTTACTGCATTTTAAATATGGCAATTATGTTACGAATATTCTTGCAGGTGATCCATGTGTAGTAAAACAATCAGATTCACAATGGTGGAAAGACATTATGAGGATCAATACTTCAGCTGCGATAATTCCTTTTTGTGAACTCCTAACAATAAGGTTGGGTGACGACAAATCAATTATGTTTTGGAGTGCGAGGTAGATGGGAAATATCACTTTAAGGGAACAATTTCCTGGTCTGTATTCTATAGCATATCCAAACTGTGCAATGCTTGAAGATATGGGAAAGTGGGAGCAAGATGTCTAGATTTGGACAATGGAATTCCAAGGGTTTTCCTTAACTCAAGCTGCAGCTGAAGAATACCAAGAGTTATCTACATTGCTGCAGGAGATAAAACCAATACGAGGGAAACAGGACGTGATTATATGGCTGTGAGATTGTTTGCATATGTTCTCTGTCAAATCTTACTATGCTAAATTATTAACAACAATGGTTGGAGGAGAAATAGAAGATAATATCAAACAAGCTTTGGGCAGTATTTGGAAATCGTACTGCGCTTTCAAAGTAAAGGTATTTAGATGGAGGCTCATTCAGAACAAGTTGCCGACGAGAGGAAACCTACTTCGAAGAGGTATTATATCAAATCCACACGAAATTGATTGTGTTTTTTGTTTTCTTCACTTGGAGACCGCAAATCTACTTTTTATTTCATGTCAAAAGATGGAGAAAATTTAGAAAAAGGTGTTTAAATGATTGGAGTTGAGGGAGGTAAATGATACATCATTATTTAACCACTTGCTATCATGGAATAATAATTTTAAAGTCAAATTTTCAAATAAGATTGCTACTAGTTTGTGGTTGATTGTCTGTTGGGTCATTCGGGGGGTTAGAAATCAAACTCTATTTAACGATATCTTTGTTGATTCAGACCCTATTGTTTTGAGAATTAAATTTTTTACTTAGTGGTGGATTCTTAACCTTTCTGAGGACAATATGTGTTGTAACTTTTATGAATGAAATTTATTTCCCTTAGATTTTTTGTAATAGAAGGTGTAAGATAACATAGATGTTGGTTGTATTGTAGTTGGGGGTATCCCTAATATCTCTTTTCTAATATTATACTTGACTTTAAAAAAAAAAATTTTAATCCTTAGTATTAGAGTTCGGTTTAAATATATATTATTGCTAATATAATTTTTGATATTTAAAAATCAGCAATATGAGAAAAAATTTCATGAGATGTTTTTTAATTCATCTGTAGTGAATTTTTGAGATTCCAAAATCATGGTCTTTTTTAAAATTAATTCAGCTGTTATTTTATTAAGATATAAGTTTGGTCAGAAATTTAGAATAGTTTTCTAATAGGTATAGTGGCAATGAAGCTAATGTGCTATAAACCAAACTCATGGACGATTTCATGAAAAACTCAATATGATGCAATTTTTGTGTAATTTTGTTACTGTAATTGTTTTAATAAAATTATTTATTTTCTGTTCTTCTATATATTATTATTAATTTGATGGCATTTAAAATTGAGGATTTGCAATTCTACTATTACTACATCATCGACTAAATTAATTAAATTGTTATGAAACATGTTTATTTTTTGTAATCTGCATTTAAGTTTTGTGCAAAGGTAATTAATTATTTTGAGTTTTAATAGCATATTCATTCTTTCTCTAACATACTTGTACTTGCAAATAATGGCAATGAGATCCACTTGAATTCTATTGACAAAAAAAAGGTGAAATTCTTAACTTTAGAAAAAAAAGGATATCAGGTGTTCCGCTAATATTCCAAACACTCCAATTAATTCTATGAAAAACTCTACGGATGTATTTACTGCTAGACACATTCAAAATGCAAGATATATAATTTTTAAATTGTAATTTCTTATCATTTAATATTTAAGAGTATTGTTAGAGTTTTGTGTAGTTTATTTTTCACTAAATGAAGATGAATGTTGCATGTGAAAAAGTATAAAGTGGAAAAAGAAAATCTTATCATTATTATTTCACATGTATAATGTAATGTTTATAAAGTATGGTGCCTAAGCACCTAGAAGTTGAGTTGGTAGTTACACGACTAACCAATTAAGTTACAACACTTTAACTACCAACAATGAGCTGTTACTCATTTTATTTTTAACACTCCCTCGAACTGAAGAGTGGAACGACGGACCACCTTAAGTTTGCTGCAAGTGTCTTGAAACGCAATTGTACTAAGAGGTTTAGTAAGAGTATCAGCAAGTTAAAATCTTGCTGGAACATGTTGAACTTTCAGTTTGTCAGTCACCACTCTTTCACGGACAAAATGAATGTCCAGTTCAATATGCTTCGTGCAAGCATGAAGAACTGAATTATGTGACAGAAGAACCGCACTTAAGTTGTCACAAAGCAGAGTTGGTGGGTGAATCAGAATGTTGAGTTCAGATAGGAGAGATTCCAACCAAAGTAGCTCAGAGGTGGTGTGTGCTAAGGCGCGATAATCTGCTTCTATACTGGACGATGCTACTAACGACTGCTTCTTAGAGCTCCAAGACACCAAGTTCGGTCCAAAAAATATGCAAGAACCAGATGTAGATCGTCTATCATCCGGATCACTCGCCCAATCAGAATCACTATAGGCACGAAAGGAGAATTTTGAAGAAGAAACAGAAGGAGCTAGAATTAAACCATAATGAATAGTACCACTTAAGTACCTTAGAAGTCTTCGAACAACAACCCAATGAGTGTCTAATGGGAAGGACATGAATTGACAAGCTTTGTTGACACTAAAAGTTATGTCAGGTCTAGTCAAGGTAACATATTAAAGTGCTCATACCATGGACATGTATAGCTGAGGGTCAGAAAACTGATTTGTGTCATGTTTACTCAACTTGCAGCTGCTTAACATTGGAGTAGGAACCTCATTGGCATTATCCATCTTCGCTCTTGTAAGAAGGTCTTTAACATATTTAGATTGATTTAGGAACATAGGACCATTTGAACAGAATTTCACTTCAATACCAAGAAAGTAACTAGGTCGCCCCAATTTCTTTAGAGCAAAGTCATGATGCAGCTTGTTGATTAGCTTGTGTATAAGATCTGTACTTGAGTCATTGATGAGTATATCATCCACATAGACCAAGGCATATAAGGTAACACCAAGCTTGGAGTAAATAAAGAGAGGACTGACACATTTAGACATAATAAAACCAAACTATAGTAGAGCTTTAGTGAGTTTCTCATACCAAGCCCTTGGGGCTTGTTTGAGGCCATAGATGGCTTTGTGAAGTTTCCACACAAGATTTTTGTCAGAACTCACAAAACCAGATGGTTGAGTCATATAAGCTTCATCATGAAGAATGCCATTTAAGAATGCATTATTGACATCTATTTGTTGGATCCTCCGCACTATCCTACTCAATCTTCTTCATTATGTTTCACTCTGTTTTTTGCTCAAGCTTTGTATCAGTCAAGATCTTGCTTCAACTTCATTAATGGCGTCTGAAGAAAATCAAGAATCTGTAGTAAAAAACCATGCCCAATGTCAAGAAACGTTCAGTGGTTGTGCAACTTCCAAATCCACGAATTCCTTCAGACCAAAGCTCTAATACCATGTTAGAGTTTCGTGTAGTTCATTTTTCACTCAGTGAAAATGAATGTTGCAGGTGGCAAAGTATAAAGTGAGAAAATAAAATCTTATCATTATTATTCCACATGTACAATGTAATGCTTATATAAGCATGGTGACTAGGCATTTACAAGTTGAGTTGGTAGTTACACTACTAACCAATTCAATTACAACACTCTAACAACCAACAATGAGTTGACACTCATTTTATCTCTAACAAGCATATGTTACAATACTTTATCAACTCAGTTGAGAAATTGTTTTGCCTTACCATTTCTCCAACATCAAGATCACATATGCTTTGGAAAATTATAGTTGACGAAGAGCAATTTTTAGGCATTGATTTTGGAGTTGAAAAATAATTATTGTGTTCATTATATTACAAACATGATGATATGTTATTTTTTATTTGTTATGTTAAAAAAAAACTTTGTATCTTATAAATATTGAATATTAATTTATTTGAGAATTGTAGACAAATTTTAAATATATATTCTCAATTTAAGTTTTGATTAAATATTGAAAAACTTATTATTCACTTAGAATATTAAAGTTTTTTTGTTATAGTGGTTTTCTGTTGATTTATAAGCTATTTGAGATGTTATTTTGTATTATAAAAGTAATAAATGCTCATGGACTCTTTCTGTAAATATGAATGTGATGTTTTAAAAAATTAGTCATAATTTATTTTTAATTTATTATGACTAATTGTATAATTGCATATAAGGAGAAATTATTTCTAATATTATCCAATCCTTTATCTAAAATTAATAATTTTTTTAGAATATAAAATGTCCCACTTTGCTAGATAGTTTGGAGAAACTATTTTTCCTGTTTTTATTTTTTAATATTTATTTTAATTTTAATTAATAATTATTTTATTATTATGTAAATAAGTGATAGTATTTTTGTAAGTACTGATTGCAACCTAAGAAAAGTGGCGTGAATTAGGTTTACTAATCTTTTTAAAGGTTTTATGTTCTTTCCTGGTTTCTTTTGATCTTATTTTTTCGAAATTATTTTAATGAACTTAAGAAGTAAAATGCAGAAAGTAAATGAACACAATGAATTATACTACTTCCCCTTATCAACCAATGGTATATTTAGTCTCCCTTACATCCTGTGAGAGATTTTCACTATTGTTAGATCTTTGTACAAGCCTCACACCAAGACTTCTCCTACAATTTTCTAAAATCAACAAAGAAGAAAACCACTTCCTTGATTTCCAACAACACCAAAAATTATGGTGGACTTTGAATCACCCTTGAAATTTTGTTCCTCAGAGGACAAATGTT